CCACAGGAGGTACTGGAGGGTGCTGTCGCTCAGGACGATGAAAGGCATTGCAGCTGGCGGAGCAGCCGACATTGCTGGACAGCGGCCCGTAGGTAGGCCAAGCCTCCGCCGCCTTGTGGATGAGCAGAGCTCCTGATGTGCCTTAAGATTCGGAGGCAGGATGTTAGCAGGTGCGCGAAGGGCACTTAATGAATCTGAGAATGACCCAGGCCTGGCCACTGTTGAAAAGTAAGTGAAGCGATTTAATGTTCGCTGCTGAAAAACAGTGCTTCAGTTCGTGACTGGTGCGACTTTCTCGAGCCTGACATAACGCAAAAGCCGCTGCTGGTTCAGCTCAATGCAGAAACAACCGCAAGCGTGCCTGTCAGTTGCATGCCCCTGACCGCTAGCAAAGCCGGTGGGGCACTTGTGGGGCACTTTGCTCCCTGGAGGGCAGCGGTGTGGCCACCAGCGCGACCAAGCCTTAGTGCAGTAAATGCATGCATCGCTCAGAGTCCTTGCCGGCAGCTGCTGTGCATGAGTCTCGCAGCTGGCAAGGCTGTATTTTTGACCCTTCAGCAGCTGTACTGGCGCGCGAGCCACGGCTGCTGTAAGTGCCCCAAGGGCCCGCTGCAGTTAGTAGCAGGCAAAGCCCCCGAGTGCTAAAGAACTAAAACAAGTTCAAGCCGGGGGCGTAGTGGGTATCGCTTCCTCCAAGCTGACCTGGCCGTCCTTATGAAGAGGATAGCCTAATGAACGAAGAATGTTACGCGTGCCCAGCGGAAGCTTCTCTGCGCCGCTGATATGAAATGAACCCAGAATCAGGCGGCAGCCTGACCATGGAAGAATGGAATGCCGCTTTTGGGCATCAAACGCCAAAAAGGGGAGAGTGATGGGATGCATGTGTCCCCTGATGTTGTTCTGCGTGTCTAAGCATACGTCTCCCTCCTCAGCTTCCACGAAGAGTTGGCCGCCAGAGAAGACCGAGAGGGGGATCAAGACGTTCGGCACGTCCTTGTGATTGTGAGGGTCCGAGTGAAGTCCCATGGCGCGGTTCCTGGCCAGGAAGTGGCTGTACACTCCACACAGTGTGTAGATCACGGCGTTCAATAGGCGACTGACCATAGGGTATCTCCTCGTCTGAGCTCGAAGACCGACCAGCGGACCCTGCGAATAAGCCCCGAAGAAGATGCTTTTATAGTCCGACGGCTGATCGATGCTGGGAGAGGAGTGCCTCGAGTCCTGCATAGATGGAAGACCATCAAGTAGCTGACCAAATACTCCGAACGGGGCCCACTTTGAGTGCAGGCAGCACGTGGCCATATTTTCTGTAGGGCAATGAGTGAAGGGGTTGTCGGTGATGTCCATGTAAGGAGGTAGTAGGAGCTTGATGCCAGCCTCCTGCGGATTGGCATAGAGTTGCAGCGCCGTTGCAACAGATTCCTGGCGTTGCTTGTCCAGCTCAGTTGGAGACTGAGACATGTGAGCCGAGCGGGGCCCTGGCTCTTCTTGTCGTCTTCTCTTGTTAGACCAAGTCTCCGCGTTGGGTGCTGCTGGCCGAGCCGCCGTTGGAGCAGAGTGCTGGTCCAGATCAATGACCGCGCCACCTGAAGAGCTCGGCCGAAGCTGCCACATGTCTCGCGAAGCAGCTTAGACTGGCACTAGGACCCCGGAGAGAAAAGGCTGCGCCGTGTGTGGGCAAAGCCTGCGTGGAGGCCTGTCGCCAGAAATGCAAGTGTGGACCTGTTTTCTTCGCACCGGCCGCATTGCTGGGCTGGAATGTGCAGTGAAGTCAGCAATTCAGCTTTTAGCCGTCCTGCGCCATTGACGGGTCTTCAGCCTCGGCCGCCGAGCCCGGTGCTGTCGAGGAGGATTCATTGCGAGCAGCCATAATGAGCTCCTCGGATACCTCCCGCAGAATGTCCGAAGTGGCCCGAAGGGATTGTGCCAGAGCGCTGTGTGTTTGTGGAGGCATCGACTGCTCCATATCCTGGGCAAAACTGACTGCCGCGCTAAGGCTGGCAGCAGCATTGCGAATAGCGCTCTGCACCGGAGTCGAGAAGAGAGCTTGTGCCCCAAGTGGAGGAGCTTCTTGGCTGTGAATTTCACCTCTGTCTGGAATCCCCGAAGGAGATGCTTCCTGGCTCCCCAAATGCCCGGAAGACGGACTGCGTTGATTGTGGCCAGAGCAGTGCATGTGGGTGGGCCAAGCCCCCGTCCAGAGACATGTCAGTAGTCCAAGACTTGGGGGGATCAGAGGGAGCAGGGGGAGGAGGAGGGGGGGGGATTCGACGGCACGAGGTAGCCATCCTGGTTGGAGTAGGCCTGCCAGGGAAAGATCTCCTGGTAGATAGTGCGGGCAAAGCGGCCACAGGTTCGCAACTGACATTTCAGAAAGAATCTCGCCGAGATGGCCGATTTCTCCCAGCTGCCCGTGCCCTGCGTCCCTTCACTTGCCACTCCTTCTGGTACCAGGGCGCCGTTGGAGTTGCCAAACTTGGAAGCCGGTGAGGTGAAGGTCGCCGTGTCGTACTTGACCTCGCCATTTGCCTTCCAAAGTGAAGCATGCAGAATGATAGAAGGGGAGATCGCAGAGTCTTGCCAAGACCCCGGAGGGAACGGAGTCGTGGGGCCAGGTGGACGAGGCCATTGGTCTCTTGCCAGCCATGTGCGAAGCTCCTTGTCCAGGTGTGAGGGCAGGGAGGAGTCCTTGTCCGAGTGCTTCCTCTTGGATGGCTCCGGGCCAATGTAGAGCTGCTTGAGGATGGTGCGAGCCAGACGATAGTAGTCTCCATGTGCGGTCCTCATGGGCTCCGGTGTGATTCAAGCGTGGGGGGACGATGCGTCACTCCGCCGTAGCCCGAGGCTCCGTAGCCAAGGTGAAGTGGGTAGACCGAGTCTCCGGTGCANNGCAAGCCGGGTCCGCCCTGAGCATTACGTTATCCGCATGAACGTCCGCATGCACAATGTGAGCTCGATGTAGCATCTCCAGGGCCGCGCTGATGCCATACTTGAGCCTGATGACTTCCATGGTCCGAAGGGCATTTCGAGGGACCGGCCAGAGCCTTGGCATAAGAGAACGGCGTCCACTCGTGGCGAAGATTGTAGTGATGACAGAGAGGGCAGGCACTCTTTTCAGTCTTGAAAGTTCTCGCTGCCATTCGACTTCATCCTGCTGACGCACGGTGCGGATGACATAGCGAGGCTCGGACTGGCAGGCATGGACCTCAGAGGAGTTGCCCTTGCCAATCGCCTGACCAGCCTCATTCCCGGCCATCAATGTCCTCAGAACCTCTGCCGGTGGAGATTGGAGCTGAGCCGGGGCCTGCATGCTGGGGTCGTCGAGCAAGTTCTTCGCCATTTCGTCCAGGACAGCGCGGGCCTCCTTAGCCGGGTCTAGGACCGTCCAGGCGGCCACGGCGTCTATGCTGCTGCGGACTGGCCGGGAGAAAAAAATGAGCTAGCACAGCAAGAACAGGTAAAGAAAAGTCCTAGGATGAAGCGCCGGAGTCAATCAGCGCATTTCCCTCGGTGCTGCAGTCTGTGGTATCTGTAAGGCTGCGCATGCAGACACTCAACGAAGGTAAGCCATGGCCAGAGGCCCCGAAAATGGCACTACAGAGTCACAGAGTGCACCCTGCTCAGTCCTGGAGCCTTCTTCTTCCAGACAAGCTCTATCTTGTTGAACTTGGTCCGAGGCTTCGTCGATGGCATGGACGACTGGGAGGCGAACCACTATCGCTGCGAGACGATTTCGGCTTCGGGGGCGTAGGAGGGCGGACGCGCCCAGAGGCAAGAAGAGCACTGCCCTGGACTTTGTCCCGCTCTTTGTGTGACGCGTCATCTTGCGTGCAAGATGACGAGCCGTGTCCGCGATCACAAGCATCCTGCCATAGTTTAGCGTAATATTCCAGGCTATGCGGGAGCACGGGCATGGCTATACCTGACTTGCGCTATCCTGTTCTGTATATCCAATCAGCTAGCTGTAGAGCCAGCAAGGATCACACTCGGACAAGCAGAGCGAGCTCGCAGTGCAGGCGGCTACAGTATTTTTGGGGCGTGGCAGGAACTGTTTGTGCAAGAATCCCACCTCAAAAATGCTGTACAGATGGGCCAAGCCTCCGAGGGTGAAGCTAAGTGGCCCAAGGCCCCGTGTGAGTGCTACAGCAGCTAGCGATCCGAAGGTTTGCCTCGTGCCTTGCGAACCAAGGCACCAGGAGCGCGCTTTCCAAGCCTTTCGCCTTCACAGCAGTCGAGGAGGCCAGAGATGAACTCGGACTGCCGGGCCAAAACCGTGTTTAAGACTGGTCGGAAGTCCAGGATGACGTGCTCCTTCTTGGCACTCAAGCGAGCAGAGCAGTATGAGACCATGTGCACCAGACTTTCGTGCAGATCCGGGCCAAGTTCTTTCACGACCTTTTGCAAGTACTTGTTGTCAGCGCTGCAGAAGTTCTTGGGAGGCTCATCGATCTTGGAGAGTTCCTTGAGGAGCGAGGCAGCCGTGTAGTGAGAGCACGGACCCCCACGGATGAGAGGTGCCGGCCTTGTGTTCAGCCTGCCATTCGCGCACTGCCTTCATGAGGCTGCGTGCTATGGGTGAGTCCTCCGGGAACTTGAAAACGATGGAGACCTGGCGCTGTAGCATCGCCAATTGTTCCTCATGGAGCAGGAATCCCTGAGTGAGCTCTTCAGGACTCAGAGCTGTGATCCTGCGAGCTGGGGCCGCCCGAGGTGCCGGGTGACGGTCCCCGCCGCCACCGCCTCCTCGGCCCGAGGCCCCGCGCATATTTGGAATCGGCAGCTGCTGCCGTTCTGCCATATCCTCGTCGGCCGTCACAGGGGAACGTCAGCCTCTATGGCGTTTGGCTTCCGGGCTATTGGGACCAATAATCATGCTGTCTTGAACAAAAATGCTGTAGTAGGCCTGCACACGCTTATAACGTGTTTGGCCTTGACGTGGGGGGGCCATGGCC